AATTTCACCAACTTTTTCTACACATTCTTCTTATGTAACAATTTCTTTTTCTTTCTTTATTCTTTTAACATACTATTCGATTCTCGGCAGCTTTATCTTTTTTCCAAGACGAGATTGAAATTAAGCATGAACAGAAAAGACACGTACTCACAATATTAGACGACCGAATGTATATGAATAAGCAGAATGAAGATATTTTCTTTTGAAAAATTATAATCTATATTCATTTTCAAATATTAATGATGACCAAACTTCCATGTTGTATTAATTGCGGTCGCATACGCCATACTAAAAATCGTGCAAGCAAACAGAGTTTTCGTACCATATCAAATAAGAAGCATCGATGGCTGCATGATTTGTTGTTAGCACGTGGAGTCGAGCTTGAATCCGAAATGATTAAATGCAATCAAAGCCGAGCTGTACTTTGTCGAGAAAGAAATCATCGAGGGTCGAAACATCTTCAAGTAACACCGGGTGATGATTATGATGATGAAACAGATGACTCTCAAGAACAGTTTGAACATTTTGATCTGAAACATATTTTAATAACTAATATTTTCGGAAACGGTGATGATGATTTATATTGCTCATGGTGCATGAAAACTAATGCCACCATGATGAAACTAACTCTATCAGAACGTATCTCACTGCTGTCAGAAGATCGTTTATATACATCACGCAAGGCCATGAAGTGTTCTCAACCTTGTTGTACAATACCTCATAAACGTTCTCAGGAACTTACCAAGTTATCCGCTGAACAAGTGATCGATCTGATTGATGATTAGATGACTGAACTGTATAATATCAAGAATACACCTTTACTTTCAGAAAACGATACTATTTTACACGATGACGATTATGTTAGTTGGACTGGATGGTCCTTATCACAACTAAAAGATATGACGACACTCGTCGCTCCTTATATGCGTACATCAACTTATCGTACACCTTTTGACGCTGTATGCTTATTTTGGGTAAAACTAAAAACAAATCTTTCGTTTCGACAAATAGGAACTTTATTTAAAATAACAACATCAGAAGATAATATTCGACGTCCTGTTGAAGACACATTGCACGCAGTGACTACGTATCTTAATAATACCATCGTTTCGAATAATCTGGGCGTAGCACATCTAACTCGTATTGAAGCACTCGCTCATCATACGTCTTACTCAGGAATCTTTTTCGGCGATCAACTTTCTATGGTATGGGATGATACGTATGTTTATTGTTATAAGTCAAATGATCATGTTTTACAACGTGAATGTTATTCTGGACACAAGTCAAGTCATTTAGTAAAAATGATGAGTCTTGTACTTCCTGATGGTTATGTACTCGATTTAATCGGATCACTTTCTGGTAAAAGCAATGATTCTACTATTACTAAAGAAATTTTAAGCATCTGTGCCAATTTACAACACCTCTGCCAGGCTGGTGATGTGCAAATCGTTGACCGTGGCTTTCGAGTTGTGGCCGAAGAATTCGAAACTCTTGGTTATGACGTGAAGATCCCTGGTCTATTAGGAAAAAACGATAAACAACTCAATACAACAGATGCCAATGAATCTCGACTCGTTACTAAATGTAGATGGGTAGTAGAATCGTTTCATGCTCGTTTTAAAAAATGGCGTTTCTTTTCTGAACAAATCGATCAGTCATTTCTTCTTAATATTGGTAAGTTAACACGTATTGTAGCTGCTTGTCTTAATAAATATCGTTCATTAATTCATGACGCAAACTCCGATGAACATAAATATATGGCACAGCGATGGTCAATTTGCTCAATCGACGAAGCGAACTCGAAAGGACCGTGAACAATGGAATACTGTCGTTAAGAAAAAAATGGATTCCATTACTGAATATCGACAATAACTTCAATTTTCCGGTACTTGATATCGACTTTCTGCGTGATTATACATGTGGAACGTACCAGATAAAACATAGTGAAGCTTATGCAAAAGCTCACTTACATGAGAATGACAATGAATTCGAATTACAAATCTCTCCATAAAATGACCACCTTATTCGCTGCCGACTTCACAGTCGACATTCAAATTCAGCCCGATACTTTATTTGTGTTCAATATGACGAGACCGATGAAGAAGAACCAATCAAAGATCATTATTGTCAATGTAAAGATGGAAAGAAAACAGTTGGCTGTTGCGGATACATCGCAACAGTTCTTTGGTATTTGGGATATGCTCGTCATATCGGATGGAAGCCATCATCAAGAACTGATAGTTTTAAAGAAGAAATCATAAGTTGTTGAAATAGAATATTGCAGTATAGAGATTTTTGTTTTCATTGATTACACCACATAATAAGAAGATAAAGCTGCCGAGAATCGAATAGTATGTTAAAAGAATAAAGAAAGAAAAAGAAATTGTTACATAAGAAGAATGTGTAGAAAAAGTTGGTGAAATTTTCTGGGAACAACCATTATTACAAATTTTTAAACAGTAAATACATACGAAATGACTTTTTTAGAAGTCAATGCCTGGTTAAATGATCTTAATTGTTTGTGTTAATCATAAGTGTGATATTGTATTTGAAGAAAAAAAATATTTCAAGCAATAAAAGTTCAAAGGTTATAAACTTTTCACGAAAAAATTTAAAACAATCAGGATAAAAACCTATAGTAGTTATCAATGTAGGTTAATTTAAGGGGTTGAGCACAGACGCTAGAAGTTATGAAATAGTGGATTTTGTAGTCCCAATGAAGGAGCAATTTCTGGGAAAGTTTGACGGATGGTCAACTTTCCTACGATCCGTAGTGCTTAATACAAAAAAAGTCATTTTAATGAAATGTTGATAGAAATAGTATAGATGCTTTGAAACTGGCCCTACGTTTTTTTTTTCAATCAGTAATATATCGAAGACATTGACTTTAAAAATTATTACTCGTGAAAAATACTATATATTTAAATAAATGAACGATTCCCTTATAGACTTTCTCTAGGAACAATTTTGGTCAATACTTACCAGCTATATACCACAATTTTGAATTCCATCCTCAACCAATAAAAACGATATATCTTCTATTTAACGAGTTGTAAAATAGACTTTATCTATACCATTCGATGCGCCTCAAAAAGCTCTACAAAATGGTATATTGGGATTTGTTATACAGATATAGTCGCCTTATTCGATAGGGTCCTTTGTAAACGTCCATATGCATTTGATCTCTTCTCTTCGAGCTTGTTCCCTCCGAGACGTCCTTCATAAATGGTTGTTTATATGTACAGCTGAGGATTAGTATTTGTTTCCATCAATATTTTTTATTTCCTCATTAAGCTAATTGTACCTTTAGTGATATGTGATTAGTGTATTTTTTTATTTTCTAGATAAAAACAAATGGCCGAAGATGAATTTGAAGAAAACAAGTTGGAAATAGTGATGATTTTATTGAAGATATTGTTCCATCAGTTGATACTGATCTATTATTTGAAAAGCGTCTTGAACATTTAAATCAATTAGATTGTATGGATCAATTATATGAATGTTTATGCTATACAGGATTTGAAGAACGTATTGTTTGACTTTATAATTTACAATCATGTGAATTATTTGATGACGAACGTCGTATATTTGTTTCAGCACTTGATCTTTATCTTGTTGGTGAAATAGGTGATCGATTAAAAATTTCATGTTATATATCCACCATATTTTTATGTTGGAACAAAATTTGGAAGAGAAAATGATGTTTATGCTTATTTATCATGTGATATCTAATTGCAAAAGAAGATTTAGGTATGGAAATTTATAGGATAAGAAAGGTCATTAAAAAGCCAATCCTTTAATTTAGATCTTCCTAATCATTTAGCTGGAATAAAACGTACATTCATTCGTCTTCGTTTTCATGATATTGATCATTTAATGAAAGCTCGAAAAGAATTGCAACCAATTGTTAAACGTAATATTGAACATGAAAAAGAACACATTAAGTCGAGCTACATCAATGAATGCCCGAAGTAGTGATCTGATTGCTGATGGTCTTTCAAATACAAATGTTGCTGAAAAACAAATTGATGGAATTATTGAATTACGAGAATTTGATATACCTTATCATAGTCGAGTTTGTATTGACTTAAAAATTAACATTGGACTTTGGTTTGTATTAAAATTTTATTATAGGAAACATTGCATTTTTTAAATTTAATTAGGTACAATGTTCGTGGTTAATCAAGTAGTAGATCACAAAATCAGCTTGTATTAAAACCCGATTTAATTGAACAACCAGAACTAATTATTCTTGCATTTGATATTGAATGTACAAAAATGCGCTTGAAATTTCCAACTCATGCATCTGATCAGATAAAATTACGTCAGAAAAATCAATAATATACTGTTTTTAATTATTCATAGATTATGATGATCTCCTATATGATTGAAACCCAAGCTTGTTTAATAATAAATCGTGAAATTATCTCTCAAGATATTGACGATTTGGAATATGCACAAAAAAGAGAATATCCCGGTCATTTTCATGTATTTAATGAACCAAATAAATTTGAATTAATCAAACATTTTTTAATCATACTATTGATGTTAAACCACATATATTAGTAAGCTATAATAGTGATATATTTGATATACCATTTATTGAACAATGTGCACAATTTTATGGCTTAAATATGTTTAATGAAATAGGCTTTCGAAAAGATTCCCAAGATTATTATTTATCACGCTCATGTATACATATGGATTGTATTAAATGGGTTAAACGTGATAGCTATTTACCTGTTGGTAGTCATAGTCTTAAAGCTGTAAAAAAGCTAAATTACGTTATAACCCAATTGAAATTGATCTGAAAAATATGTGTCGTTTAGCTGTTGAACAGCCACAAACATTATAAAATTATTCTGTATCAGATGGTATTGTGACATCTATGGTACAGTGCGTATGATTGGTTTTTATAGAAACATATAAATGGTGCTCTAGATTTTGTTTGTCGTTCAACGACAACACAAACCTATCGACAATCCTTGACAAGCGAGAGAAACAATAACGTCACCATTGACTACATGATAAAAGAAATTCAGGCTGCATTTATTGGTCGAATACAAATGTTAATGAAAGAAAACTCATAATAAGCATTTTCTTTTCTATACTTTCAAAAGAACGACAAAAACAAGCATTCATTGGACAAAATACTCCATAAGGTTGCGCTTCATCCAAATAGAAAGCAGTGGTTTTATTATTTGCACAGTGCAAGTCACACGATTCTGTTAATAAACATTTTAAATGCACAATAAAACTTGGTTATCGTCAAGTAACATCTATCTGCATATTCGTTAAAGAACAACAGTTAACAGAAAATCGAAAAGTTGGTGAGTGTAATTATACTGCGTGTTTATTTTCTGCTGTTGTGTTTTGTTAGTGATAGACGTACAGATCATAGTACGTAAAACCTTGTAGTAATTATGCTATACAATCGTGTATGTATGCATGTAGTGCTTTTACCTTCAAATAAATGATAGAGCTTGGTTGTTCACATGATAGGAGTGCAAATTGCAATAACAAGATTGACAGAAAACAAAACTTTAAGTGCATCATTGGTGTATTTCATGCTTTAGATATTTTCATTTTGAAAATATGGCTCAGAAAAATGCACGCGTAGCACGTTTCCTGGATGCAGCTCAAGAGCCAAAGAAAGAATTAACCCCTATCGAAGGCTATGAAAAAACAGATATCATGACACTCCAACAATCGATGCAGTCAATGGCTACAACGCTTCATAACCTCGACACAATGGTTAAGATAGCTTTGCGAAATTCACGTAAACCAGCCAATGATCTCACTTCAGATGAATCAGCAGCAATTCATCTATATACAATGCAGTGGCCTGAAACACATGCCAGTGTTTATGCTTCACTCAACGAAGATCTACGTTGTCAAAATAGAAGAAATCTCATACCATGGTTTCCATACATGAAATTGTTTTTTACGGCTTTATACAAGTTACCATCATTAAGAGGCACTATTTGGCGTGGCGTCCGCGGTAATTTAAATGATGCCGTTGGTGAAGATTTAATATGGTGGGGAATGAGCTCATGTACTGAAAAGGTCAACATAATGGAACATTTTGTTGGCACTGATGGTGAGCGAACTTTGTTCAATATTGAATGCACCAATGGCAAATCTATTCGAGCCCATTCTTACTTTGAGGAAGAGGAAGAAGTTTTACTCTTGCCAGGTACCTATCTGCAGGTAATCGGTAGATGGAGTCCATCCAAAGATGTGCACATCATTCATTTACGAGAGGCACCTGCCCCGTATCAAACCATTGCACCGCCATTTGAGACATCGTCGACAGCAGGCGACTTGCCATCTCTCAAATCACTGGCAATATCGGAGAAATCACCAAAAACATCAGCAGCTGCCACTGCGGCTGCAAAACAATCTGGTAAGATTCTTTTTTCTCTTCTCCGACTAGTAACATAAATAGTCTACAGAGATATTTTTCGGAGTAGAGTTGAACATTATTATACATATCTATGTTCTGACTTGGGCTAATGAATTTGGAGTTTTATCGATCCGATCTCGTATCTTTTAATAATGGCAGATGATGCCAAACGAGGAAGGGTTCCTTGTTCTTTTTTACTGATATGATTAGTTTTGAATAAGCTTGATCTGTCCATAGACATGAAATTCTACTGTTGGATCAAAGGGCGACATATATTATATCTGAATGCTGATTGATCTTTTTAGCACCGTTAACTTCATGCATAGCTCGTCTCTTTTTTAGTATCAAAAACAGCAGCGCCCGCGGCAACAAAGTCTAAATTTCAAAATGCAACACTGGAGAAAGTACAATGTGAAAATGAACGAAAAAAATTTATTAAAAAATATTTAGTTATTGGTAATACACATGAATTAATATCAAGCGATAATGATAAGACAAAATATAAATGGACACTTTTTGTTGAATTAAATAATGACGATCAAGATGAAATTGCTCAGTATATAAAACAAGTCACAATGGATCTACATCCAACATTTAAACCATCGCAAATTATTCTTAATAAACCTCCGTTTCGTTTAACAAAAACTGGATGGTAAGCGAAAAATCAAAGAATAAGAAATTTTATATGATTTTGTTTTTCCTAGGGGAGTATTTAGAATTAAGCTTACGATCGAATTTCATGATCAATGGAAAAAATCTGATTTTCATACAAGTTGGGATTTATCATTTTCAGATGCAGAAAATCAAAAAACAATTGAAATTGAATTTCAATAAGCAGCTGATGACTTAATTAATGATGAAATGTGATGTGGATATATTCTGTTTTGTGTTTCTTATATAATTTTAGTTAATTGAGTGAATTTTCGTTATCATTATTTCTTACAAAAAAAGAACTTTCATCTTCTTCAAAGCATCTTATTATCACAGTTATGGGTGAATTCAGGAACCCGATGTGGAGAAATTTTAGCACTCTATTGAAGTTTACGTTTTCAGTATCTGTAATTAACTGTTATCTCGAAAGAGAAAAAGTCTGCTATCGGTATTTTATACGATTTTTGGCTATCAATGTTCGAGATTATTGTAACACGAAACGACAATTTTTGATGCATAAACGTCCAGATAGAAATGAATACAAGTAAGGAATTTTAGTCACCATTCTCTTTGCTGCGATTCAGCACAGCTATTGACATTGTGGATCGTTACCTCGACCGTATGAAAGACAGTGAGTTGGTGGTCTTGCAACAATGTATTCCCACCTATCAGTGTGATCATTTGTAAAGTTTGAACAAATATGATCGAAACTGGTGGATTCGTGTCAGCATCTGTATTGGATAATTTAGAATGCATTGGAAGGGCTTTTTGAATCAATAATGAGTGGATAGTGGATATATGTTTTCTAGTAAGAGTGACACACGAGAAGGCTGCGATGAGGTACTTCTCATTTGCGAGCAGGCATTGAACGAAATCTGATAATACTACATCTTCAAAGTCTTGACTAGTACGTAGTATCAATTGAGAAGTTTTTATAATTTCAGAAAGATAAAGCGTTCGAGTAGAGAATGTGTTTGAATGAAACAGAACTTCTTCAACCTGTAGAGGGCGTAAAGTATTCATTACGAAAAGGCTTCCCGTTCCGTAAGACTACAGCTCATTGATTCACAATAGGGAAACGCACAATATACCAAGTTCTTATTAATTGTAGATGGTTTAAATTAATACTGATAACATACGTTTCATTTATATACTTATAATGGTATTTTTTTTCAAATATTTTAAAGAGCACAAATTTGAAGTGTTCAGTTAATTTTCTGAAAGTAGCTTTTGAGAATAGAATATCCATAAATAAATATTTTCATCAATAATTCATCTGATGCCATACACGTCTTGGCATGACTTACACAACAGTATAAAACGGTCCATGTAAGTCATTCTACATCCACGTCTGTTTCAAAATACATCCTACTCCACGTCGTCGTTGTATTGAAAAGCAGATGCAATGAGTGAATCGAAGCTTTTCTGGTTGAAGTGGCATTCTAAACTGAATATGAGCCCAAGACATTTGAGTATTGGTGTGCTTCGTCGATTAAAATTGTGTCTGAAAAAAATTTTTCGAGTGAGCTTAACTAGAAATATCTGCCAGAAAAGTGTTGGTCTTTCGAGTGTCATTCTAGAAAATGTACTATGCAGACCAAGTTTTAGAAAGTCCTGTTATTTCTCTCCGAAGTTAAACACTAGCAATATGAGTGAGACTTTTGATCATTTATTTTTATGCTTCAGAAGTTCTCTTTCTCCCGATAGTATCTGTACCATCAGCTCTATCGTAAGCAGAGCTATATTTACGTTTGTGTTACGCTGGACAAAAGTATCCAAGAGTCTAAAAAACAAAATTCGAATAAATCATATATTTCAATATAGCGTCAAACGCTACATGAATAAGCTCATTTACATTCTTTTTTCCTGATTTTATTATAGTGAAAATTTTTCTTCTTGGCACATGCTACCACAAAATTAACGTATTTCTGTAAAACGTCTCTTATGAGTTAACTATCCGATGAGTTATACAGCGGCAATTCAGTGTGTATTTTGAACCTATGGAGCTAGTAATATATAAGAAAAAGAACCTTCATATAGGCCAATGAAAAACTAGTTATTTGTCAAATACAACGAAAATGTCAACTGTTTCAACAGCTTGTAATTCACTCATATATATTTACACTTATATAATGAGTGCGGGCTACTCTACGCACCATCTTTGTTTCAGAAGGCATGAATAGAAAAGCAAGTATATGCATAGCTAAATATCGAAAATGCAATGAAAGAAAAAATATGCAGATAAAAGAAAAAAGACAAAGTATAAAACTAAAACAAGAGAAAAAATTCCGGTTATTGTAATAATCTTCTCAAATGATGTAAAGAAAAGCGGTGCAATTATAGATAAACAGCCAACGTTTGAGTATGGTAAGCGATGCTTCACTTTCACTACTAGATTGATGAATATATTTCTAGACTACTCAAAATGTTAACATTTGAATTATATTCACCTGCAACCAAGACTTGTCTACTCATTAGTATTGATGATGTAAACTGTCGTCGTGAGAAATTCATGTTTCCGATCTCTGTCCAAACTTCTGTTTCAGGATCGTATAATTCTGCACTATTCGTAAATCCATTATTGTCCTCTCCATCAGCAACTAAGACCTTTCCATCTGCTAGAGCGATTGCTGTATGAAAAGCACGGGCATTGCTCATTTGGCCAGTCAGTGTCAAAAGTCTTGTAGGTGGATCGAATAGCTCGGCCGTAAAATCAACGGCGTCAGCATTGAATCCATCAGCTACTAAGACTTTCCCATTGTTACGTATCGATGCTGTATGATATTCTCGCGGAACATTCATGCTGCCCGTCTTTGTCCAAATGCCGATTGACCGATCATACAATTCTGCGGTATATCTATTGACAATTTCTCCACATCCACCGGCAACTAAGACTTCCCCATTCGTGAGTGTTGATGCTGTATGACAGCATCGTGGGATGTTCGTACTACCAGTCATTGTCCAAAGTCCACTTGATGGATCGAACAGTTCTCAGGTATTTGTGGAGCTACAACCAGTTACTAAGACTTTTCCATTGGGTAGTATGGATGCTGTATGGGAAACTCGTGAATTATTTATGCTGCCAGTCTGTGTCCAAAGCCGTGTTGATGGATCGAACAGTTCTGCTTTCTTTGAATAACCAAACAAGTTATATCCACCAATTACTATGGCATTTCCATTGCTTAGTGTCAATGCGGTATGCCCGTCTAATGCGGTACTCATGCCAGCAGTCTCTGTCCAAATATTTGTTAAGGAATCGAACAATTCTGGAATATTGTCATAGATGCCATATCCACCAACTACCAAGATGTTTCCATCGGGCAGTGTCGATGCAGTGTGTTGATATCGTCCAATATTCAGGTTGCCAGTAAGTGTCCATTGTTGCGTTGATGGATCAAAGAGTTCTGCCGTAGCTCCAGAACAGAAAGCGCCTACTCCACCTGCTACTAAGATTTTTCCATTGTCTAGAATCGATGCTGTATGCCATTGTCGCGCGATATTCAGGCTGCCGGTTTACATCCAAAGGCCTGTTAAGGGATCAAATAGTTCTGCACTACTCAAGATGAAAGCATTGTTCGATCCACCAGTCACTAGAGCGTTTCCATTCGCTAATCTCGATGATGTATGGCAATATCGTGAAATGCTCTTGAGGGTATGGGTGTGTGAGTGGAGGTGCGGGTGCAGGTATGGTGGTGGTGCGGGTGTGGGATGTGGGCGTGTGGGCGTGTGGGTGTGGGCATAGATGGAAGCGATACCGGGAACCGGTCGGTCCGGTCCGGTACTGAGGGTGTGGGTGTAGCATCTTGAATCATCTTTTCATCACTTGATTAATACCCACACTCACAATGAAATGCATGCTTACACCAGAGTCGTTAACAGCCGGCGTTACAGTTTTCCTGAAACTGATGTAATACAGACGTGTGTTATGAGCTCTAATTGAGCGGCACGTGACAAATCGACAGTTGAATCGGCGTCTGTCTCAACCTATAGCGTGGCACTTTATAATCTATTGTTTTCTCTTGAATATGATGCTTCTTCTCTATTTCGAACTGATAACGACGTAGACCTATGTGAAATAGTTTGTTTCGTATTCTAAGAAATATCTTTATTACTTCTTCTTATTCAAAATGGATTTTTACACAAAGCGGGTATGATCTACCAGAGCAGAGTTCAATAAAGCAATGCGGTCCCTGAAATAATTATTCTTGTGATTTCCACAGGTATGCATCCCACCACAAACGATGAATGTGCTCATAGTCCAAACTGTTTCCGCCCAACTTGTCCCATGGTTTTTGCAGGATGAAATGAATAGCTTTGATTTTCAATTCATCCCAAAGATATGGGTGCGTTTTAGAGAATGTTTTTAACGAATTATAAATATATGGCAAACGCTTCCGTGAAGAACGATAAAATTGATTGAGAAAATCCTGATCAGCAAATATGACGTCAGTCAGATCCCACGTGTTAAGCGCTGTGATCATTTGTTCAAAGACTACTAAATTTGGATGAAATACAAATAAGCCGCTGTTGAAGAGGCGACCATGTTCATAAACCAGATCATGCCCATCCGAATTTTCACCATGAGTGTAGGGACAATTTTCCGGTTTCCAATATTTCGGATATGATGACGTTTTTTGCCGGATTGCATATGCAAGTTTGAACAGCAGCAAAATTTGGATTCTGATCTAATTCGAATAATTCATCCATATTGTGTAAAACGATCATATCAGCATCCATAAAAATACATTTCTCACACGCATCCACTACTTGGAATGCTCGTAGTTTTGTCCAATCATGAGTTAAACGTTGAAAAGCAAGATTCCCTGTTTTTTGCGTTGGATAAATGGTTTCAACTGGCCGTACGAGACATCCTTCATTTAAAATCATTTCTTGAGTTTCTTCAGACAGTTGATCCGAAACCAATAGCACTACTAATGGATACATACTCTTCGCTCGTTTTAATGAACGAACTAATGCTAAGACACCTGGTACATATTCTTCATTGACCAGCAATGTTAGCCAGGCACGACGTTTCGTGTCCGCTTTCATCACAAAATGTTGTTGATAATAAATACTAATAAGCACAGCGGCAATCGCAATGAGCACGGCGACTAATTTTTGCATTATGATTAACCGTAACTGGCTAATAAAGTCTTAAATTTCAAAACAAATCCATGGAAATTTTTGAATGAACACATAAAAGTTAAAACCCATTCTGTAGGAGAAATATCTTCATCAATTTTTCTAATATTTCATTTTAACGATAAGGAAAACTGCCACTGAAGTGACATTAGGATCACAGCAACGATTCGCTGGAGCGGTGTGGGGTATGCATGTGACTGGGTGCGTGAATGCGTGTGAATGTGAGTGTTCGAATGTGAAATGGATTGGTTTGGGTTCGCATATGTTAGTGGAACTGGTTGTTAATGTGGGTTTAGATATGAATGTAAGTGTGGTTATGAGCGTTGCAGTAGTTATAAATAATTTGTTGGCGTGGATTTAAAATTTTAGGTAAACCAATCGCAAATCTCCATTGAAAGCGTCTGCTCTCTGGTGAAAAATAATCCACAAGGAAACAAGAACCAGTTTTGCTATATCTGAATGAAGCAATCGTTCAATCCGCTTGTTACATTTCGGATTACGAATACTAAATGTTTTCTGAATGTGAAGCTTCTTACTTCGAGGATATATGCCTTAGTCTTGCTATAGATTTAATTCGTATCTAGCAACACTCAAATGTACCTCACACATACGCCCACACGCTGATCATCGTTTAGTCTTACAATATTGTTTTGCTTTTCTGAAAAATTCCATTGGATGAATACTTTTTGTCTTAAGGTAAGCTATGTGTATAATTGCATAAGTAGGTTATAGTATTAAAGTCCGTCAAAATGTAGAGAGTGCGAAATTTTTAAGGGTTATCGTTTCAAATAATGTTTCCCTACAAGAGAGTTGAATTGAGTTCATCTTGAAAGAAGAAACGATGATAGCTTTGTATTTTAAAATACATTAAAATTGGTAAAGTACCTTTCGGTATGGTGAAGTAGCTAAAGTATGATAAATATCCTGAAGTACGTGAAAAGAATCGATTGAGAACTTGTTTTACTTCCAGCGAAAATTCCTTGCTCTACACAAAGTCACATACAATCAGAAGAAATGGAAAAATATGCGTGAATCATTCTTTTATTCGTTGCTATATCATTGACATGTCGATTTGCCGTCCGTCTTCCGCCCATACCATTTTATCATTCATCTCTACTAGAATTCACGAAACACAAGAAAAATATCCGTATCTCTTTACATATTTCTGCTGATGACAGAATTCGGTGAACCATTTCTACTGGGCGCATATCAATTTCTATTTAAAATACTATTTCCACCAGAATTTACCTATAAGGTAACAAAGAAGATCATCAATATCCCCTTGTAAACATTTCATTGCTTCTCATGAAGGTAGAAATGAACCAAGTATTTCTGTTTGCAACAGTTTCATTTCACCCAGGAAAATACCATTTTTACTTGAATTTTTGTATAAGATGAAAAAGAAGATGATCTATATCTTCTTATGATGGTAGAAATGGTTCAATGATTTTTACTCAAAATAATTTCACAGAGAATGAAATCTGTTCCTTCTAAAGCGCTTTTGCTTGACTTTGAAAGAATGGAACCATTTATGTTGTAAATGGAACATTTTTTCGATTTTTGGGGATGTTCTCGAGCCTTCAAATTAATGGACTGTATTAAAGAAAGGCATTGAGAAGCATTACTGCGCGATTTCGCCTCGGTAACCCACCTTTTTCATCAAAAAAAACGTGGTTATTGCAAAAACTACCTTTAAAGATAGTTGAATGTGAAAATGCTTTTGAATACATAATGATGAATAACTGCGTTTAAATGACGTTTCGTAGGAAAATGACTTTGAGGGCATTTTTGGTTGGTTGGGATTTTTATTGGTTTCCTAAAATTTTGACATCACGTACGAAGTTTAGTCAATGCAATGAATTGTGTTTGCTATGGTTAGTGGATTTGGATTTTTTCAGCATTTGTACGGTGGTTTACGACAAAATACAGCAATAAAAGGCGGTGTATACTATTGTTAGCAGCAAAATACGACTATAAAACAGAGTATATTTGACTGGAACGGGGAGCGTATATTTTCGTCTACGACAAGACGATTTACGGTCTGCACAGGGTAGTTATTATAGCGTTAAAGACCGTTTACGCTAATGAAAGACGACAGTGTACAATCGTTTATAGTCACACCAGAGATGTGATCGGTTAAGGTTTTTTTTAACCGAACCGAACTGAACCGAAAAATTTGCCAACCGAACCGAGTCGAACCGATTTTTATTTTTAAAACTTTTAACCGAGTTGAACCGATCCCAACCGAAAACTTTGTACAATTTTCAAATTTCTTTAAGAAATTTATGATGCTATTAGAAAGCTTTTTTTTTAAACTGATAATTGCTGTACAATATAGATAAATTTATTTATCCAGCTTTAGTAAGAGAAAATATCCCAAGTAAGCAAAAAATGAAGGGAGACTGTCGACATGACTAGTCAGAAATGTCCTCAGCTGCCGTCAAGTTTAGTCTGAAACGCCTTGCATACCCGTCTTGTCTAGTCAGCTTAATGAGGAGTTTCTTGGAAACACGTCTGTACTAGTCTGAAATGTCCTTGAGCCCAGTCATATCTAGTCCGTGTTGTCTGTTGACCTAGTCCAGACTAGTAAGAAGATTAAAAACAGAGGTTACACGGTGGATTTGAACATCCAGCCCGACAGTGTTCGAGATATGACGGACATCCTGGCGGGAGACTAGGACACTGAAATAGACTGCCGTAAGTACATATAGTCTAAACTTATATATTGACTCCCATCCATGCATAGAAAATGAGAAACACACCGACGTAAACGGTATTGACTGGTCTGAAGCATCTTTTGGACGCCTCATGACTAGTCCGTTGTTAAGAAGTGTTTATTTTACTCAACGCTTGTCGAATTTTTTTCTACCTAGAAGTACAATTAGAGAGTCTGCTGTCATCAATAGTGCATTCGAAAAGATTTAATATATTGCATGCATCCCTGTCTTGATATATTCTATTTTATTTTG